CCTGGCCACGCCCCTTGCTTTGGCTCTGGCGCGGAGTCTGGCCGGAGATTGGGTCTTCGCTGGACTTTTCCTCCTGGCCACGCCCCTTGCCGTGGAACGGGCACTGAATCTGACAGGAGATTGGCTCTCCTACGGACTTTCTCTCCTGGCCACGCCCCTTGCCGTGGAACGGGCACTGAGTCTGGCAGGAGGTCGGCTCCTCGCTCCTCTTTCTGTCCTGGCCACGCCCTAGGTCCTGGCTTCTTCCCCTCCCCGGGTCCTGGGCAACCTGGCCCTCCTGCTTCTGCTCCGATCCCCGGCCCCTCTCCTTCTCCCGCCCCGGTGGTTTCTCCTCGGCACCCGCCTGCCCCTCCGCGCCAGCCCTCTCCTTAGGGAGCCTTTCCTGGTCGCGGGGCCTCTCTACTCCTCCAGATCTCCCCTCGCCCCCGGATCGCTCTTCCTCGGGTGACCTCCCCTCGCCCCGGGATCTGTCTTCGCCGGGTGGTCGCTCCTCGTCCCGGTCCTCCCGTTTGGCTCTCTGTTCGCCGTGCTCCCTCTCGTAAATAACTGTTTCCTTGCCCCAGTATTTGTCTTCGCCTCGACTCTGCTCGTGATTTCGGAGACTCTCCTTGCCATAGACCGTCCTCTGGCCGCAGGACCTCCCGTCGCCCCACACCCACGCTGACTTCGCGATCCTCACTGTCCCCACCGACACCTTTTCCCTCCACCTCTTCTCATCCGTCCTGTCCATGCCCTGAACGTCCACCGGTCCTATGCCCCGCCTCTTCCAGCCACGCCCATGCTCGTCGGAGGCTTCAGGTCTAAACCACGTTGGCCGCCGCCCCGCCTCTGCCACGCTTTCTTTGCCTGGTCCCTGTGCTGGATGCTCCTTCGCTAGCCTTTCCTTGCCTTGCCTTCCCACCCCTGCCCTCCCCTTCTTAATTCCCTCCCGCCCCCCTCATCCCCTAGGATGGCACCGCCCCGCTGTACCAGTCACTTGGTTAAAACCGGTCAACCGTTGCTTGTTCCACCCCTCTTGCCAGCTCTTAAAATGGCCGCTCGGACTTCCACCTTGCGCGAGGCACGCAATGTGGCGTGCGTGTTTCCATAGTAACACGCATTCCCAACAGGCGCCTAGGGCTTGAGAGCTGGCCTTGTGCAACTCGGGCTCCCAGGTGTGTGGCAGGCAGAGGTACTGGAAACGCGTAGCTCTGTGCTAAGAAAGCACCGAGAAATTGATAATGGTTGTTCCAGCAGTAACATTGTGCCTACTTGACCTCTATCAAAAATCCTCCTGAGAAAAAAGACTTTCCAGAACCTTTGGGAGAATGCGCTGTGATCTGGAAGTGGGTTCCTATAATTAAATTAGGCAGCTAGTTTAAAATGAGCCCACTTAAGAGCTGGGACCCTCTAGTCAACATCTGTAAAACAAATGACTAAGAGGCAAAATTTTAATTACTGTTCAGAAGAATGGGACCTAAGTCACGGCTCTGATCTGCTACATTGTGAACTAGATAACAATCTTCCCAGGCACTCAAATGGTGCACACTCATACACATAAATAATTGTTTTAATTTAAAAAAAATTACTGCTTAAGGATCCAGTATGGTGGCGCATGCCTTTAATCTCATCGCTCAAGAGTGGAGGCTGTGAGTTCAAGGCCCGCCTAGTCTACATAGCTAGTTCCAAGTCAGCCAAGTCTTCTGTACAATGAAACCTTGTCTTCAGTGAAACCTTGAAGAAAGAAGGGCGAGGGGAGGTGGGAGGAGAAGCAGAAAAGAAAAAAGAAAGAAAAGGAAAAAACAAAAGGTTGGGGCAGGAGCAGTTGGTAGAGTCTTTGCTTAACCACGTATGCAAGCTGGTGAACACCCATAGTCCCAACATTTTGAAGGTAGAGGCAAGAGGATCAGAAGTTGAAGATCCTTCATGGCAACACCAGAAGGTCAGGGCCAGATTGGACTACAAGAGACACTGTCTCAAAAAAAAAAAAAAGGCTGGTTGTGGTGGCCTGAGCTTCCAGTCAGTTCTCCAGGGTCTGCCTCCCATCATGTTTCAGAAGTGCTGGGATTACAGATAAGAGCTGCTACATCCAGCTGGCTTTTCCCATGGGTCTTGAGGATTAAACTCAGATCTTCAGGCTTGAGTGGCAAGCGCTTCTAACCACTGAGCTTATCTCCTTGGCTCACAGGCATAGCCCAACCTGACCTTGAACTCATAACATCTAATCTCTGAGTCTTCAGCATATCCTGCCAACATACGCTGCTACCACTGGCAAGAGATTTTAGAACTAGCATGAAGCCTGCCCAGAACTTAGCTCTACAATGGTGTCTGTGGTCGCTGTCCACTTAACCCTTGAGAGTGTGCCCAATTCTGCATCACACTCTTAGGTGTCTCCTAAATCCTTCCAGAGGTCACGACAAGGAGGCACTACGATATCAATGGCACCTTCATTCCCAGGTCTACATAGCAAGTGCCAGGCCAGCCAGAGCTTTATGGTGAGATCAAAACAACATACCCCATACCTGAAGAGGGAGGCATGGCCAGGTGTGGAAACTGAGGCAGGAGAATCATGAGTTTGAAGTCAGCCTGGCAACAGAGAGAGCACACGACTTGGCCTGAGTAAACATTCAGTAGGTTAACTATTTTCCTTTGTATTCTGGCATCTACCAGTTAAACACTGCTTATTATAATATATCGGAGCCCACTCTTTACTCTGAGCTCCAATACTCGCTGGCCAACAGACAGAATTACTCATGTTGAAATTCTACATCACCAAATTGTTTATCTAATATTCTGAATAATCAGGAGAGGGAGGCAATGGCCAAACCCCCAACCTGGCCAGTTTTAGCTGTAGGTTCCTCTGGTTTAACTTTTTTAAGGAAAGTGACTTTCAGACAATGTAGCTGGGTTTTGTTCTGTGCTTTTCTGTTTCTCCACCTTCCCAATCTCTTTCACTCAGACACTGGCTGGCCTGGAACTGGCGATATGGACCAGGATAGCTTCAAACTCAGAGACTGCCTGCCTCTGCCACTTGATGTCAGGACCAGCATCAGTCCACACTCAACCTTGAGCCATTGCTCTCCAGTCCTAGTTTTCTGTTGTTTGAGACAGGGTCTTAATGTATCTAAGGCTGGACTAGAACTCACCACGTACCTAAAGATAGGTTTGAACTCCCGATCCTCCTGTCTCTGCCTCCAGAGTGCTCGGAAGACAGGCCTGTACCACCACATTTGGCTTATGAGGACTTTTTTTTTCCCTCTCAGAGCAGAGGACTGAACCCAGGGCCTTGCTTTCTCTAGGCAAGTGCTCTACCACTGAGCTAAATCCCCAACATAGTTATGAGGACTTCTGAGACTGGTCTTACTCTAAATCCAGACTGGCTTCAAACCCATGGCAATCCTCCTGCCTCAACTTGCTGATTCCAACTTGGATCATGAATTTATTTGTTTTGCCATACTGAGAATTGAACCCAGGACTCTGTGCATGCCCAGCAAGTGCTGTTCTGCAGAAGCAAGCCCACAGACCTAATGAAATTTTAAAGTAGTTACATTTATTTATTGACTTGGTGTGCATGTATGTGTATGCATGTGTCTACATGTTAGAGGAAAGCTTGCAGGATGGTTCAGTGGTTAAGAGCATGTCCTGCTCTTCCAGAGGACCTGAGTTTAATTCCCAACACCCATGTCAGGCAACTCACAGTTATTGTCTGTAACTCCGGGTCCAGGGGATCTGGCCCCCTCGTCTAGTCCGCATGGGCACCTGCACACATGTGATATACATAGACACATACACACACATAGATAAAAAATTTTAATAAGAATACAATAGAACATGTTATTAAGGCATTTCTATCTTTTTTTTAAACATTATTTATTCATTATGTATACAGTGATCTGCCTGCATGTATGTCTGCAGGCCAGAAGAAGGCACCAGATCTCATTACAGATGGTTGGGAGCCACCATGTGGTTGCTGGGAATTGAACTCAGGATCTCTGGAAGAACAGCCAGTGCTCTTAACCTCTGAGCCATCTCTCCAGCCCAGCATTTCTATCTTAATCGATCTTCCTTATTAAGAAGCAGAATTCAGAAAGGAGGGAAGAGTTAGCATGTGATGACTCCCAGACGGTGTCCTCTGGGATATAGAGAGATTAAACTGCTGAGTGTTGAAGTCCATGAGGTAGAGCTGTACAAATCCCATTTCACAAACAAGCGACCTGAGGCACAACTGAAACACAGGGACATCAGGGTTCAAACTCACCCAGAGGGCTCTGCCTCCGGAGCCGGCAGCCATCACCGCTTCCCAGTCTGTAGCACCCTACACGGTGGCAGATGATGGCAAACACGAATATGTACTTCACGCATGGACGACATGCAGAGGGAGGCCTGGGAGTCTATGACACAGTTGTACCTGTGTGGAGGTCCGAGGACCTTCTACAACGAGGAATACAATTTGGAGAGTTGCTTCTCTCCGTCCCCTGTGGGTTCCAAGGATGGCACTAACTCTGACCGTCAGGGTTACTCAGCAAGCGCTTTCCCCCAGGAGTGATTGGCTGGCTCAGATTTTTCATTGTGTGTGTGTGTGTGTGCGCGCGTGTGTGTGCGCGCGCGTGTGTGTGTGTGTGTGTGTGTGTGTGTGTGTGTGTGTGTGTGCCCGCCCGAACGTGTGTGCATGAGTTTGCATGTGGAAGCCAGAGTTTAATATACAGTTTCTTCCTCAATAATTTTCCACACTATTTTTATTTTTTTAGTTGTGTTGTAGAGACAGGGTCTCACTATGAAGCTCTAACTGCTGTGGAACTCACTCTGTAGACCAGGCTGGCCTCAAACTCACAGAGATGAACCAGATTCTGCCTCCCACGTGCTGGGATTAAAGGGGTGTGCCACAGGGCCCAGCTTCTACCCTGATTTTGGATGCTGGAGCTTTCACAGAACCTGGAGCCTGGAGAACTGATTTGCCCTGAGGACCCCCTAGTCCCACCCACCCCCTCCAGCACTGGAATTACAGGGTCCTGCACAACCACATCTAGCATTTTTTATGTAGGTGCTGGGGATAAACTCGGGCCTTTGTGCCTGCCTGGCTGAGCCATTTTCCCAGCCGCTATAATGGTAAATTGTTTCGTTCAGCTCCTGGGATAGACATGCTCCACCACTGAGAACCTCCCAGGTCCCCTTGGAGTTTGATGTTGTTGTTATTTGTTTTTAAGTTGCCCTGGCTAGCTTCTCTAGCCTTCAGCCTCTGCCTCCACAGTGCTAGGACAACAGGTGTGTGCCACCACACTTCGTTTCCTTGTGTGACTTTCTAGCACGATCTGACGATGAGCTAGCCTTCCTTAAAACTCTCAGTCCGCCGGATGAACTTTCTACTGCTTGCACTAGAAAGAGCATGTCTGGTTTCCACGCCTGGGTCTGTGGCAGCCATGTGGACACCAGGAGAACGCACATGGGAGCTAAGCCTTCAGTGGAGAGAAGCAGGAGAGGAAGGCTGAACCCAGGGCCAGCAGCCCTCCGTAACTGTGGAGGGTATCAGGCCGGCGGCTCTCCCCAGGCATGCTCTGTCCAAGTACAATGTAACAATTAGGTTATCTCAGACAGGCCAGTCCGGGGTTGTTACCAACAGCCAAACCCTTCCTAAGTGATACAAAAGTATAAATACAGTAAGTCCCAGCCAGGAGGACATGTGCCCTTCTGCAGCCTGCTCTCACGTCCCTTTAGCCTGGCACTACATTCCTTTGTTTATATGTATTATTATTATTATTTTATTACTTTATTATGTATATTATTTTTATCACCTGGCTCCTGCTGTGTATCCCAGCCTGGGCTGGAACTCTTTTTTTTTTTTTTTTTTAAGAAATTTTTTTTTCATTCATTTTACACACCAATCAAAGATCCCCCTCTTCCCTCCTCCTGAGCCCCTCTGGGCTGGAACTCTTAAGCCTCCTGCCTCAGCTTATAGATTATAGGCACGTAATACTGCACCTGGCTGATGTCATCTTTTGGAGAAGTATTATTATGGTCACCATTTAGCAGACACAGGGTCCAGAGGTAGAGTGACTGTTCAAAAGCATGGGCAGGACATGGCCTGGTCACAGGGTACCCCCAGGAAGATTGGCTCCAGAGCCCAGGGCCATCAGTTAGTGCCCAGGAAACAGACAACACAGCATCTATGCTAAGCGGCACCCCTCATGCTACTTGGATCTGGGCTCATATCCTAGATTAGTTCCTTGCCTGCTAAGCCATTGAGGGAGATGCTGGCCCATCCCAGGGCTCTTCCTACAGGTACTATGACCCATAGACACCTGAGAAGAAGGGACAATCTTTTCTCTTGACTGGCAGGTCTTGGGTTCGTTCTTGTCCCTTCTTCCAGGAAGCCCACCTGGACACTTCAGGGCTGTTCCTCAGTCCTAACTACTCTGCCTCTTCCAGTGCCTATTGAGGCTTGTCACTGTCCAGGGACAAGTAGGTGAGTCAACCTCGCTGGCCAGTGAGGCCCGTAAGAACAGGGCCCAAGCCGCTTCTAATACTATGTGCCTGGCACAGAAGAGCAGGACAGAAGCGAGGGTCTGTGGATGAGTTCAAATAGTCTTCACATCAGACAGCTGAGCTATCAAGGTTCAGAATGCGGAAATCATTTGGCCAAGACAGAGCCCCTAAGACAGTGACTGGAGTGAAGTCCAGGCCCAGAGCCCAGAGCCAGCAACTGAGGTGGTGACTGATACTCGGTAAGAGAATGAGAAAACAGCAACCACAAAACGCATTAAACCACCACCCACCAATGACGTCAGAAAGCCCAAGTGCCCAGAGTATGAGAAGAAATGAGAGGAAAGGAAGGAGGAGAAAGTGACTGTGGTAGCTCCCTGAGGAGCCGAGGACACGGGCACGGAGCACCTCACCTCCCAGTGGAGTGCTGGGAAAGACAGGAGCGTGTATGGGCATTCCTGTTGGCCCACTCTAGTCACGTGGGGCCAAAGCCCAGGCCAGGTGTGTCCAGGCTGAGCACCTTCCCAGCTACCTGGGGATGGTGGCGTAGTTAGCGTGGGAGCCAGCCGAGAGGTGCTGGTGCAGATCTGTCTGGGTGTCCAGAATGTCCACCTGGTCGTCCTCATCCTGGCTGAGGTTGGCAGGGTCCGGATTGGGCAGCAAGATGAGTTCAGTGAGGCCATGGAGGTCAGACACATGGTGGAAAGTCTGCAACACCAGCACCATGGCAACCAGGCCCAGGAAGAGGTATGCTGCAGACATGGGGGAGGGGAGACAGGTAGACGGCAAGGTGATGGGCCAGCTTCGCGCTCAGATCCCAGGGCAGGGATGTGGGCCTACAGGTGCCTCTCCCCTGGGACGGCTGGGTGGCTCTTAGGACCCCTTCACCACCCCTTAGGACATTTCTTCCTGAGAGCCCCCCTCTGCCAGCCCACAGATGCCCAGCCAGCTATACAGCTCACCTGTAACAAGCACCTTGTAGAGGGCCCGGTAAGGCTGGCCGGGGGTCTCCCCAGGCACATAATCCCCCAGGCCGATGGTGGACAGGGAGATGAAGCAGAAGTAGAAAGCATCCAGAAAGCTCCAGGCCTCCTCAAGGTAGGCGAAGACCGCAGCTGGCACCAGGAAGAACACAGCCACTATGACCGCCAGCAGGGCCACCAGGTGCCAGCGGGCTGCCCGCCGGGGGTGCCACCCCCAACGCAAGCTCAGCCAGGACAGGGGTGCGTGGGTGAGCAGCAGTGACAGACGCTGGGCCGACGCAGTCAGAAGGAGCATGGTGATGGGCACGCCCAGGAGCGCAAAGGCGATGGAGAAGGCCTTGCCTGCATCTGTCAGTGGGGTCGTGTAGCCATAGCCTGTGGGGAGAGCGGGGGTCCTGCACACTGGCACCTCCACAGCCCGAGGCCCCAGCTCCTCCCAACCCCACTGCTCCCCCATCCTCCCGGTCTCCACCGGTGACAGCTCCATCCAAGAGCTGTGGTTTCTGCTGAAGCCCAGGGGAAATCCATAAATAAACCCTCGGGCCTCAGAGCACTTGCTTTAAGTTACTCACTTTAAAAAAAAATTTCTTCCCTAGTACTGGGGGTTAAAATCCATAGCCTGGTGCAGCCAGGGGATTCTAGGCACTGAACAACGCCCCAAGTCCCTCACGGGGGATTCTAGGCAGGGGCTCTACCACTGAGCCACACCACCCCAGCCCCTCACTGGAGGATTCTAGGCAGGGGCTCTACCACTGAGCCACACCC